TTATTTTACCTCCTCATGGTCCAGAAGATTCTGCTGTCGTCACCACTGAGCTGACAGATAGGAATTTAGGAGCACATTACTTAAGTTCTATTTATCTAGTTGCCACCATCTTGCCACGAGTTATGAAGAGCTTCAAATCATTTTCGTAAATGCCAAGCTCTGACTCAGGAACTCTCTGGACTGTTTTAAACTCATTCCCAAATTAAACATGGCACCTCACAGCGCCAGAGATCTGGGTTCGATTCCACCCTCGGTGGCTGTGTGAAATTTGCACATTCTCCCAGTGTCTGCACGTGTTTCCTCCGGGTGCTCCGGTTTCCTCCCACAGTCCAAAGATGTGCAGGCTAGGTGGATTGGCCATGCTAAATTGCCCATACTGTTCAGGGATGTGTAGATTAGGTGGGTTATAGGGGGATGGGTCTGGGTGGGATGCTCCGAGGGTCAGTGTGGACTTGTTGGGCAAAGGGCCTGTTTCCACACTGTAGGAATTCTATGATGATCTATGATAAGTGGGTACAATTACAATATTTAAAAACAAACATTTGGATAAGTACATGAGTAAGAAGTGTTTGGAGGGACATGGGCCCGGATCAGGTAGATGGGACTAGTTAAGTTTGAGATTATGTTCAGCATGGACTGGTTGGACTGAAGGGTCTGTTCTCTATGAGTCTATTATCAACATCCTGAGACAAGAACAGGACTGGTGAGCGGTCTCGAGAAATGTAGTCCCTGCTGTAACATACAAAATGCAGCAGCAAATTTGTGCCCAGCAATTTACCACAAACAACAATGTGAGAACAAGTGGTTAATCATAACTACTTGATATAGTTTTGTGATGATTTAGGAATAAATATTAGCCAGGACATGGGGGATAATTCCCTGCTCTTCCTCAAAATTGTGCAACAGGAATCACCTCAACCTGAGTGGGGATGCATAGCATCTCATCCGTAAGGCAGCACCTCGTTTTTTGTGATTAAGTCTTTGGTCTCTGAATCAGAAAGCTTTGTGGTCAATATGCTACCAACCAAGCCACAACTGATACCTTTACAGAATGGATAGGGAGAAACTGTTTCCAGTGGTAGGTGGGTCAGTTACAAAATGAGTCAGATTTAAGGTAACCGGCAAAATAAATAGATAGATGTGTAAAGTCTTTCATTACATAGCAGATTGTTATGCCCTGGAAGGCACTGCCCACAAACAGATTTAATAAGAACTTACAAAGGATAATTGGATATATATATTTTAAACAGGGAAAAAAAAGACTTGTGGAAAGCGTAGGGGAATAGAACTAATTGGATAGCTCTTTCAAAGAGCCAAGTATTCATCATGATGGACCAGTTAGACTCCTCCTGTACAATTACATAGGATACAGGGCCCTGAAGTGGGCCAATTAGTCTATTCCAGTGTTAATGCTCCATTTAAGCATGCTCCCATTTAATCTACTATTGTAGCCATTCATTTTTTTTTCCTCAAACCTCCAATAAATTATTCCAAACCTCCCTGCCTCTTATTTTTCCAGGATATTTCTAAAACCTGTGCCTTCAACCAAGACTTTTAAGGCTGGTGGCCAAAAACTATGTTCATTGGTAGCAATTCCCATTTGATGACATCTCTGTGAACCAAATTGGGATGATTGTTAAAGATGCCGTTTAAATGCAAGTTCTTAGCACTCTGATCTAGCAACAAGTTATAAATAGGCTGGATTCCCAATACAGACAGTGATGCCAATTTGGACATAGTGGACACACATTGTTTTTAATTAGATCCTTTACACTAGAAAACCAGTGGAATTATTGAATTATCTCCGAATAAAGGTTCACTAGTTGGGCAAATTGCAGATATAGGGAATGGAAAATATAATCAAAAGAAACTAGGATTTAATCAAGACGACATGAGCACACTAGCTTATAAAACAGTAGCCACACAATAAACAAAATCAATCCATCACAGCTATCATGAGCCTGAACATTTTATTATTCAATTACATAATCAATAGACTTTCAACTACCCAAATATTAAATCTATTTTATACATTTTTTAAAAAATCAGTATAAAACCATTTAGAAAATATAGGACTGCTTAGCAAACATGAACATTACAGCATGTATAAAATCTCATTCAGATATTAAAGACTTCCCAAAATCATTTTGAGTTAATTATCTCATTAATGTAATAGTTTACCAGCTACAAGGATATTTAGAATAGTTCAACCAATTCAAGTAATACTGTTAAGGCATCAGTGTGGTTCATTTCACAGGAACACAGCTTATTAGACTCTTTCCTTAACTGTTCAGGGACTGAGGCAGGAAGTATCCCCAAATATAGGATCAGAATCAGGTTTAGGAAATTCAACAGCCTCCCTGACTTTCAAAAGATTTGACATGCGTTTGAAAAACAAATTGGTCTACACAAAAACACAGATTTAAATGTTGTTGCTCAGATATCACAATAAAATGCTCCCCATCCACAACTAAACAGCAAACACACCCTTTAAAAGCAAACAAAACTTTCAGAGTATAGGGACAGTAGGAGGAATAGGTCCGATAACATTTCTTCCTATTTAACAGGATCATATCTGATTGGCAACAGCTTGTCCTACAACACAACAAGAATGTCTTCAATAAACATCTCGGAGCATTTCCTTCCCTATTTCATATCTCTTATTTGGCCAATTCCAGCCACATCATATCCTAGAGGTTTTTTCCCCCCCACAGTATGGGCAGGAAGACCTACTGATAATCACTTGGGACCTCAAGAGCTAATGGACAAAAAGCAAATCTCATTGTATCTTCCTGACAGATTTTTGTTGTGTGTCTCCTGGAACAGCGTTCCAAATTTTAGTGCTCTGCTTCATGCCAGGAAGGAAGGAAGCCAGCTGGGTTTGGTGACCAATGTGCTAGAATTAAGGGCTGCCCTGACTACTTTGAACAAAGCTGTCTATCCAACACTTCCTCACGTTGTGATCTGCGCCAAAAATTATATTGCTTTTCAAGAAAAAACCTAGCGCCATACAATTTTCTACACCTGTAAGGTTAACACTGTGGCTTTGAGTGGAATGTTACCAGGTCGAAACAAATCCACAGATACTGTACCTTGACAATACATAAAAAAAGCAACATAAAATCATTTTTCTTACATTGGTGAAAACATGGCAGCATTCAAGATTGTAAAGCATGTAACACAGAAAGAAATTAATTCCAAAAGGATGAAGAAATGGGAATGCTGTAGGAAAAATGTTGTGAAACTTGAAATGGTTCAGAAAAGATTTAAAAGGATGTTGCCAGGGTTGGAGAATTTGAGCTACAGGGAGAGGTGGAATAGGCTGGGGCTATTTTCCCCGGAGCGTTGGAAGCTGAGGGGTGACCTTACAGAGGTTTATAAAATCACGAGGAGCATGGATACGGTGAATAGCCAAGGTAGTTTTCCTCCCCCAGAGTAGGGCAGCCCAAAACTAGAGGTATTAGGTTTAGGTTTAAGGTGAGAGGGGAGAAGATTTAAAAGGGACCTAAGGGGCAACTTTTTCACGCAGAGGGTAGTGCTTGTATGAAATGAGCTGCCAGAGGTGGTGGTGAAGGTTAGTACAATTACAATATTTAAAAGGCATCTGGATGAGTATCTCAATAGGAAGGGTTTAGAGGGATATGGGTCAAATGCTGGCAAATGGGACTAGATTAATTTAGAATATCTGATTGATATGGATGAATTGAACCAAAGGGTCTGTTTCAGTGCTGTATGTTTCTATAACTGTAAATGAAAAATGTCAGGAGCTCTCCATTTCAGCTGGGGTTCACTGGATATCACTCTCACCTTGGAGTCAGAAGGTGCTCGATTAAGCCCCATTTCAGGGATTTGAGCACAGAATTGAGGCCAATGTTCCCAGTAAAGCTCTGAGTGACTGCCACACAGACAGCGTTGACACCGTTCAGATGAAATATTACAATCAAGTTCCCATCTGCTCTCTCATGCGAATGCAGAGGTTTTCACTGCACTAATCAAAGAAAAACAGTGGCATTTTCCCCTGGTTTTTTGGCCAATTTTGCCCCGACCTAATAGAATCATAGGACAATGCAATATCTTAAACTGATTATCGAGCCATTACCTCATTGTTGTGTTTGGGAACTTGCTGAGCACAAACTGGCTGCCACCATTCCTCCATGTCAACCATTACTATACTTTAAAGTATGTAAAGCACTTTAGGACATCTTCAGTCCATGAAAGAATCGACAAATATATGGGTTATTTCTTTATTATTCTGTCCAAAAAATGTAACAACATTCCTTTCATTATTGTTTCAGTGTTGGGTGTTAAATCCCTTGACAGGAGAGTTTGGGATAATAAAATCCCTAGTGTGGAAGCAGGCCATTTGACCCATCGAGTCCATACTGACCTTCCAAAGAACATCCCATCCAGACCCACCCCCTTACCCTGTCCCTATAACCCCACATGTCCCATGGCTAATCCATCTAACCTGCACATCTGTGGGCACTATGGGCAATTTAGCATGGCCAATTCCACCTAACCTGCACATCTTTGGATTTTAGAACAAGAAATAAGAGTTCTAAAATAAGAAAGGTGGCCATTTAGGGCTGAGGAAACTGTATTTACTCAGAAGGTTGTGATTCTTCAGATTTCTCTAACTCAGAAGGGACGGCTACACTGATGTCAAGTACATTTAAGACCGAGACTGAAAGAGCTTTAGACACAGAGGGAATTAAAAGATGTAGGGATGGGGTGAGAGACAGTATATACATAAAGTTCAAACATGATGCTAGTTAATGGGAGAGCAGGCTTGAGGGACTGAATGGTCTATTTCTGTTCCTATTTCTTCTGCCCTTACGAAAGATTTTACTTTTAATGCCTGGCCCTAAAAATGTAGTTGAAGTAGTACATCAGGCATTGCAAGAAGGCTATTCTAAGCTTGTGCTTGTAAATGGAATAGAAAATTCAGATGAGACAATTCACTATTTATTCATTTTGACAGTATTCATCTGAATGCTTACCAATAAATCCCAGCTGGGAAAATTCCAGGATCATCCACTCTTCAGATGGTTGCTGCAGTGCAAAATTCTTCATTGTGCTTAAATAATTGGGTCTCACCACGATATCATCTTCCAACTAAATGTGAAAAGGAAGCAGAAGTTCGCACTTCAGTCAATAACTTTGCATAGGTGTGATGATTAACAGCTGTTACCTGCAGTAGGTTTAACAGAAACATTAGTTGCTAACATGATTCCAGTAACTTAAAAAAACTGTTGGCATGGATCTGTTGCAGAATCTGTAAAATTCCATGTACTTCGTTACATGCATGTGTGTATTTGTTTGTGTGTTCAGGTATGTGTGCACAGGTATCAGCCTGAAACCTGATTTGTACATAGACCAAAATGAAAAGTCAACCATAGGTGGGCAAAGATTGCACGTTGAACAAAAGAATCACTGAGCATCTGGAAAAATACCATATGGGTTATTAGACTCCTTCTGGTGTTGTGTCCATTGAAACCAAATTAAAATGAAATTAAAATTAACAAGATGACCATTTTAAATTTGCCTACTCACATTTTTTTTGGATTTTATAGTGCAGAAAAGGGACCATTCAGCTAGTCTATGCTAAATTAGAGTCATACAGCACGGAAACAGACCCTTCGGTCCAACTTGTCCATGTCAACCAGATATTATAAACTAATCCAGTCCTGTTTTCCAGCACTTGGCCCATTTACCTCTAAACCCTTCCTATCCATGTACCCGTCCAGATGTCTTTTAAGTGTTGTAATTGTACCCACCTCCACCACTTCCTCTGGCAGCTTGTTCCATACACACAACACACTCTGCATGAAAGCTACTCCTATGGTCCTTTTTAAAATCTCTCCCCTCTCACCTAAACCTATGCCATCTGGTTTTGGACTGCCCTACCCTGGTAAAAGAACTTGGCTCTTCACCCTCTCCATACCTCTCACAATTTTTATAAACCTCTATAAGGTCACCCCTCAGCCTCTAACACCCAGGGAAAATAGCCCCAGCCTATTCAGCCTCTCCTTATAGCTCAAACCTTCCAATTCCTGCAACATCCTTGTAAATTTTTTCTGAACCCATTCAAGTTAACAACATCTTTCCTACAGCAGGGAGACCAGAATTAAATGGAGTAGTCCAAAAGTGGCCTAATCAATATCCTGTATAATTAAACATGACATCCCAAGTCCTTTACTCAATGCACTGACCAATGAAGGCAAGTATGCCAAACACCTTCTTCACCTACCTGTCTACCTGTGGCTCCACTTTCAAGGAATTATGCACCTGCGCCCTTCATTTGGCAAAACTCCCCAGGGTTGTACTGTTAACTGTACAAGTCCTGCCTTACCTCACATTTATCTAAATTAAACTCCGCCTGCCATTCCTCAACCCATTGGCCCATCTGATCAAGGTCCCATTGTACTCAGATATCCTTCTTCACTGTCCGCTACACCACCAATTTTGGTGTCATCTGCAAACTTACTAACAAAACCTCCTTTATTCACATCCAAATCATTTATATAAATGACAAAAAGCAACGGACCCAGCACCGATTCTTTTGATACACAATGGTCACAGGCCTCCAGTCTGAAAACCAATCCTCCACCACCACGCTCTGTCTCCTACCTTCAAGCCAATTTTGTATCCAATTGTCAAGCTCCCCCTGGATTCTAACCTCACAAACCAGTTTATCATGTAGAACCTTGTCAAATGCCCTGAAATCCATATAGACAATGACTAACTTTCTGTCTTCAATCTTCTTTGTCACTTCAAGAAACTCAATCAAGTTAGTGAGACACAGTTTCCCAAACACACAGCCATGTTGACTATTCCTAATCAGTCTGTGCCTTTCCAAATGCATGTAAATCCTGTCCCTCAGATTCTCCTCCAATATCTTACCCACCATTGACATCAGGCTCACCAACCTATAGTTCCCTGGTTTTTCCTTAGCACCTTTCTTAAATAAAGGCACCACATTAGCCAATCTCCAGTCTTCAAGCATCTCACCCTGGCTATCGATGATAAAAATATGTCAACAATCACTTCCCTAGCTTCCACAAAATTGTTTGTCTATGCCAAACACAATTCAAAATGCAATTCTGGATGAACACAGCAGGCCAAGCAGCATCATAGGAGCAGAGAGGCTCCTGGCCCCATCCCCGCCTCTTCGACCTGTTTGTTTCCTCTCCACCTATCCTCTCCTCTATCCCTCTTCTATCCGCCTCCCACTCTCTCCCTATTTATTTCAAAACCCCCTTCCCCTCCCCCTTTTCTGATGAAGGGTCTAGGCCCGAAACGTCTAGGCCTCTCTGCTCCTATGATGCTGCTTGGCCTGCTGTGTTCATCCAGCCCTGCACCTTGTTGCCTCGGATTCTCCAGCATCTGCAGTTCCTACTATCTCAAAATGCAATTCACTGGCCCATATTTGCCTAGTGACTTCATACTGTATTCTTTTCCACATATTTATCATATTTTCTCATGAAGGGAAAGCAGTAAGAACAGTCAGATGAGCTATAGAGGGTACAGGACTGTGCTATTTCTTAAAAGGAAAGATAGATATGGGGAGAGCAGTCTTTTTAAAAGGAAATGAAATTGCAGTGGGAAAAGTTCTGTATTTGAAGAAAAGCTGCATTTATTGAAGTCATGTTCTTTTATGTAATAGCATGAATCAAGTCAAAGGTCAATACCTAACTCAGATATTCAGGTTAAAGCGTCTGGTAAAACGGCATTGATATTTTATAGGGTGTCTATGAATTTCCTCTTAAGTTTCAAGTGCTTCACTACCATGAGATTATAAGATATAGGAGCAGAATCAAGCCATTCGACCCATCCCGAGTCTGCTCCGCCATGCAATTCTGGCTGATATATTTCCCAATCCCATTCTCCTACCTTCTCCCTGAAACCTTTGATCCCCTTAATAATCAAGTGCTTACCAGTGCTTTTCCCAAGAAAGCACTGCATTTAGAAAACAAAGGCAATAACATTTCCCGGGACCTTATAAAATTTTGACAAAGGGGGAAAAGGTTTAGGGAAAAATCAGTATTTTTTTTCCCTCAACGTCTTATGATGATCTGGAATGCACTGCCTTAAAGCAGGTTCAATAATAATACTATCAAAAAAAAAAATACGATTAGTACTAATATTTGAAAAACCTGCAGGGCTATCAAGAAGCATGTAGTGGGAAATGGACTAATTTCTCTTTCAAAGAGCTAGCAGACACAATGGATCAATGGTCTTCTGCTGTGTTGTTTCATTCTGATTGCTATCATCTTGTAATGTAAAAAAACTAAGTGAATTTTGTAAAGATCTTCTGGGCACATTGTAAATCACATCACTGAAATACTACGAACAGGGTCACTGGTGCTTGAAGATGGTGTTCTTTGTAAAGGATACCACTTTAGATTCTTGCTAAGTGCTTGTCAAAAACAATGTTAATACATTAGCAATTTGGCAACAACCTAATTGCTGCCTGAAACATTTTCAATGGGCAAATCAATACATAATTGACCACAAGGTTCCTGCGAACTATAAACCAGCTGCTACTTGGGGCTGGAGCCTGTTTCTTGCTTTGCTATGATCAATAAAAATTTTCATCCAACTAAGCCAGCTTTCTCTAAAGCAGGAGTTACAAAGAAATTAGTGTGTGTGAGCTGTCTTACCTGTACATAATATGTGCCCTTCAATTGAGCATACATCATTAAAAAGCAATAATCCAGGTTCTGCTTTGTTCGCCATCTGAAATGAAAAGAAAATATTCCAGTCCCTCTCTTGATATTGAGATCTGCATTCTGTCTTGATGCACTCTGAACTCCCTTCCAGAGTAGCTGACTGTAAAACTATAGATTTCAACCGCAGAGAATGGCTTTGAGATGTTCTGCAAAAGCCATCCGATAACTACATCACAACTCCATTCATTCTGCTTTGTTAACAAAGCAGCCCAATTATAGTAACAATTCTCATTTACACTGTGCAACCAACAAAACATCAGACAGTGTAATCAGACAAAAATAGACAACAGATTAATTCACACTGTGTAGTCCAGACCTACTCCATGACCCCACAGTTGTAAGCCCAAGGGAAAATCCACTTTGCATGACATGTGGCATGTAATATTCGCACCACACTCGGGTGCCAAGTTACGATCATCTTGAATAACAAAACAAAGCCACTTCTCCCCAATCTTTATGGAAGACAAGTTTTCCAGGCCACTAACGTTTTTAAGGCATAACAAAACACTGCTGAATCCACCTGCCATGCAACATTCCATCCCAAAGCATTTTGGAGATTATCAAATAAAATTTGACAGAGTTACATAAGGATATATTAGGGCAGATAAGTAAATGCTAGGCCAAATCTTAAGTTATTGAAAATAAAACATGGAGACAGGCATGTAGAGTGCGCTTCAGGGCCTGAATTCAGGAAGCTGAAGGTACAGCTGCCAACAATAAAGCAATGAAAATCAGGGATGGTTAAGAGGGTACAATTGAAGGAGTGCAGAGCTCATTGAGGGCTGTATGGCTGGAGATGTTTACTCATATCCTGGATGAGTGCAGTTCCAAAAACACTCGAAGCTTGACACCATGCAGGACAAAGCAGCCCGCTTAATTGGCACCACATCCACAAGCATCCTTTCTCTCCACCGCTGATGCTTAGTAGCAGCAGTGTGTACCATCTACCACAGAATTTCTCCAAGGCTCCTAAACAGCACCTTCCAAGCTCATGAACACTTCCATCCCAAAGGACAAGTACAGCAGGTACGTAGAAAAACCATCTGTGAGTTCCCCTCCAAGTCATACACTATCCTGACTTGGAATTATATTATTGTTCTTCCAGTGTCGTTGGTCAAAATCCTGTAATTCTCTCCGTACTGACATTGTGTTACCCGCTACAGTGGTTGAAGAAGGTAGCTAACCACCACTACCTTCTCAAGGGCAACTGGGGAAGTTCAGGGGGGAGGGGGAGAAGAGAGAAAAAATATCACCTATGCCCATTCTTGTAAGAAACAGTCACTAAGAAATCCAACACGGAATGTAGGAGAAACTTCTTTAATGTGAAATTTGCTACCACAGGGAATCGCGGAGTTGAATGCTACAGACACATTTAAGGAGAGATGCATAAACACAAAGGAGAAAGGAACACAGGGTTATGTTGCTAGGATTAGATAAAGGCAGGTGGGAGGAGGCTTACATGGGTCATCAGCATTGACCAGCTGCACTGAATAGTCTGCTTTTGTGCTGTTAAATACTTTGAAAGGTCACTGGAGGATTAACTCCTTGGTCTCCTGAAGGAGAACACTTTAATCATTTACAGCTTGAATTTCATTGCTGACTTAAAGGTTGTGTCAATCTCTATCCATAACCTCTTGAATTTTTAACGTTCAATAGTATGAAGCCTTGATCTGGTCTCTGAACAATCTAAAGAGTATCAAGAGAGTATTAAAAAGAAAATCCTACACTGATCACTTATCTTTTTGCTGTTTGAAGGAACTTGTGGTACCAAATTGGCTATGTGTGCCTAAACAAACAATAGCTCTCTGTACTTCATAAAAATTCATTGGCCACGAAGTACTTTGGGACATCCCAAGAATATGAATGGCATGATATAAACAAGAGATAGTAGGAACTGCAGATGCTGGAGAATCCGAGATATAAACAAGAGTTATTTTTCTTACTTGCATTCTTGCAGTCTCCAAAAATAAAACTAACGCTAGACACCAACCACGAGCTAAATTTTTATTTTTGAGGTTGGGCGGCCTTGGGCCTCAATGAAATTCTTACATGATCAGGAATCCTAAGGATAATCTAGCCAGATATAGCCAAGGAGTACACCTTGACCTTTAGCCAATGGCTTCAGATATTAATCAGTCGTATTTATGTATTAGAAACTGATGCCACTGTCTCCCGCTCTCACCTGTTTACTCAAGTCTGCAAAGGTTGGTAGTATAAATACATTCTTTGGATTCAGCTAGATTTACCTGACCCGCTCTTTGGGATCACCAAACGTTTCTTTCAGATGAGAGAAATCAGGATAGTAATTCACCGAGGGGGCAATGACTTCAAGCAGACCCGACTGAATTTCATTTGGAAATCTGAGGAGAAAAAGAAGTTAAAATAATTAAAGGTTTGATCTGCACAGAAAAGATTTAAATAGCTAATTCTATGACACATGCCATGAGTTACAACTACACCAAAAGGTCTCTAAAGTTGTCCAATTGCAGAATTGAAGAAGGATTGCAATATCATAGGAAACATTTTACAAAATTCCTGTCCACATAAACTCCACATCCCCCAATTCCTTTCAGTTCCAAAATCCATCCCAGTGTTGAATATACTCAATATCTGAGCATTCAGATTCTCTGAGGTTGACAATTCCAAAGATTTGCAATGTTTGGGTGGGAAGAAATTTTTCCTTATTTCAGCATTCAATTGCTGACCCCTTATCCTGAGAGTACAACCCCAGGCTCTTGAATCTTCAGATAGGAGAAAAAGGCTCTTAGTATCTACCCTATCAAGTCCCCCAAGAATTGTATATATTTCAACCCGACCATCTCTTATTCTCCTACACTCAAAGCAATAAAGGTCTATTCCACTCAATCCCTCCATAGGGCGTCTCTCTCATCATGAAATCAAATTTGCAAATCATGCTGCACCCTCACTCAATACATCCTTTTTTTGGGAAACTAGAACTGTACACATTATTCCAGGTATGGTCTTCCTCAAGTCCTATGTGCAAGATTTTCTTACTCATACTCTGAACTCCCTTTTGGTGAGCATATCATTTGCTTTCATAATTCCCTATTGTTTCATTCTTCCTACTTCACACGTGTCCACATTACAGCCCTGCTTAACCAGATAATAAAAGCATTTACATTCCTGATATTTACACTTTAAATGGAACATAGAATCAATGGAGAAAGTGTAAAAAAGGTTTAAGGATGGTACTAGGATTTAAAGATGGGAGCTATTGGAAAGACTGAACATGTTGAGGTATATTTCTTCAGAAAAGTTGAGGCTTAGAATATATCAGAGATGGCCTTAAAATTAACAATGGGTTTTATCAGGGGAGTTGTGGAGAATGTGTTAACTTGTGGGAGAATCCAAAATTAAGGACCATAAATACAAGACTGGGTGGGATTACAGATATTTTCTTAACAACCTGTTCAGAGACGTTATTATACATCTCTGGAACAGGCAGGATTTTAACTTGGACCTCCTCGTCCAGAGGTAGGGACACTACTACTGCAACACAAAAGCCCAGTATGGTGGAATTATATGAGGAGGCCAGGCCCCTTGCACACTGGTGCGTGTGGTGCATGTGCATGTGCGTTTGGTTGGTGGGGGGGTGGAGAGTGGAGGTGCTCACCTTCAATTTTTTTGAGTGTCTGCCCTATAATTGGTTCAAGGTGCGGCTTGTCTCCAGGGAGAAGTTACACATCATCAAGCTGTCAGCCAATCAAGGCTGGCAGTTCTGCATACCTACAGCACCAGTGGGCACTGCCAATATGGTCAAGCAGGTGAAGATCAGTCATAGATCTGTCTTTCAGGTATGTTTGCCTGCAGTAACGGACTGAGACAGGTGAAGGTGGATCTGGAAGGAGGGAAAAACTGTGGGGAAACAGCCTCTGACAGGTACCAGGGCCTTCAACTAACCAACAGCTCTCAAGTTTAAACCATTAAACATCACCCACTAAATCACAGAGGCAACAAGACAAAGCTCTTAAAGTCCACTTATGGATCCCCACTTGGCCAAAGCCAAAAGACCCTTTTCAAACTCTCAAAATTGAAGAGGCGTGGGCAGGCAGATAGACTCCCTAAATTTACAAGTCCATGTGCCTCCTTTCCCACCCATGGGTGATCTATAAAATGGAGTCATTGTCACTATTAAATTCATTGAGGAAGAGGGGAAATTCCTTTACGAGATGGTTAGCATAAGCTAATACAGGAAGCATCTGAAGCAAATTGTTTAGTTTACAAAGGAGACCACAGCACAAGAGAAAAGCAAATAGAAATATTTGATGAAAGGCTGAGATGGAGTAGATGGAATGGGAGAAGACTTGCGTGGAATATAAATACATTTGAGTAGTTTCCTTGTTGCATTTTCTACATGACTATCCTGTCAGGGTCATGTCAAACAAAAACCTAACGACACTTAAAAATGCCATGCTTCCATTCAAACACCAGCGAGAGGAGGTGATGAAACATCAAAAATTTAGAAAAGAAGAATCTTACATTTTCATTTACTTAAACAAATTCCTAGAAAACAAAGCTATGTTTAAAATTCTTATTGTTGCAATATGAATGGATCTTATGCAAACAGCAATTCTTTGGATGAGAACATATGCATGCAGATTATCAGCATGTCTCTCAGTGTCCCACTTGCTGGCAAACGAATTGCTTACACTTGAAAATTTTGAAACAGTCCTACACACGGTCTTGGATTCAAAATAGCCAGCCACTTAGATCTCATGTCTCGAGGTCAGGAGTTGACCCTTTCTTACAGTGGGAGGACCCTAATGTGTTGCAACAATAAAAGTGATACATGAACCAGAAATTGGGACTTGATGCCTGAATACAGATGAGTTATTTAAATCATCAGAAAGATAGACTGATCAACAATCCCAAACAAGGCTGAACAGGTTTAGTTTACAATTGTTCATTGATAGTCTGACTCCTCATACTTGGACTGAATTCAGCATCCCTGCTCATTCTGAAAAATGACACTTGAAAACAAAGTCCTGCCTGCCCTCTGAAATAAAAAGTACAAAATCCCTCGGCACTATTTGGAAACAGAAGCAGAGCTCTTCTCAGTGTCAATATTTATCCTTCAACATCACCAAAGTCAGATGATCTGATCATCATCACATCACTGCTTTTTGGAAGTTGTTGCACATAAATGGCAGTTGTGGTTCCCTAATGGGAAGACTTCTAAAAGTGCTTTATTTAAAGAAATGCACTTCTGCACAACCTGAGGTCATACAGGGTACTATATGTAGGTGCTACATGTCGTCAAAAAATTCTACACTTACAAGAATAGCTTGAAGACTGGAGATTCTTTGGTCAGTAAGCCATTAAATCAGAGCAGCAACAGGATATAGCTCTTAATTAAGTATTAATGCCCACAGAAGGATCTCAACTTGGCCAAAACCAAACTACCCTTCTCCACACCTCTCAAAATTGCAGAGGAGTGGGCAGGCAGACACACTACCTGCTTTCATACCTTGTCACCTAAAACAATATGGGCAGCAATTACATTAGAACACCCTCCAAGTCACATACTATCCTAACTTAGAAATGTATCATCCTTCCTTCACCATCATTAGGTCAAAATCCTCGAGATCCCATTTCAAACTGCACTGTGCGCGTATCTATGCCACACAGACTGAAGTGGTTCACGGCAGCTCACCATTACCTTCTCAAGGGCAAGGAGGATTGGCAATAAATCTTGCCCTTGGTTGTGATGACTACATCTTGAGGATGATTTTTAAAGTGAACACATCAAGATTAAGCTGTCTCTAGTTAAAACTTCCCAGTGTTAAAAATATCTACTTTTAAAGATTACCCAGTGAAAAATATCATGCTAGCTCACTAAACAACACAGGATAACTCCACAAGAACCTGAAATTTTTTTTAACGTCATGAGACACTCACACTAATAGGAACTTATTGATCCATGCAGTGAAAGCTGGTTGTCCAAACAATTGCAAACTACGTTTTTGTGGATGACTGAGAATTTCATATAAAGCATCAACTACATCAGACATACGAATGATGACTTTACGAGCAAGAATAATCATATTGAATGTGCAATTTAAGAAACAATTTTTTAACGTGAAAGAAATCTTATTTTTAAAAAGGTTATGGGTTAGAATGACAGAAAATATTTGGAGAAAATATTTCAGTGATTTAGCTCATCTTTCTAAGAAGTGAGGAAATGAAATTCTCAGTCAGTTGGCAGAAACGTAAGACGACTGAAAGAGGATCAACCAAGTTTCCCTGGAAGATCAAGAAGAACTTGGGAGCAAAAAATGTGAATGTAAGTAATGTGACATTGAAGTGAAAAAAACCAAAAGAACCATGGATGCTGTAAATCAGGAACAAAAACAAAGTTGCTGGAAAAGCTCAGCAGGTCTGGCAGCATCTGTTAA